ATTCAGTGGTTTGCTTTATAGACACTATGGTTAGGTTTGCAGTCATAGGGGGCATACTGAAAATGTGTGGATGTTGCTCTTCTCCACCTTCCTTCTCTTTTTGCAAATTAGTATATACTGGCAACTTCCCAGTATTTATGAGGATCTCAGATATTCAGTGGATAGCACTCTACATGATGCTGGCTTTGGAAACTATTCAGAAACTGCAGCTGGTCCAAAACACTGTGGCCAGATTGCTGACCTGGTCTCTTTACAGGAAACATGAACTCCCCTGTTGAAACAACGTCACTGGCTAGTTGTTTATTTTGGGGCCCAATACAAAGTGCTGAATATGACCTAAAATGTCCTAAATGCACTATGTCCAGACTGTCTGAAAGACTTTATCTCCCAATATGAGGCTGTCCAAGATTTAATAGTCTTGACAAGGACTTTGTCACAGTCTTAACTAACATCATAGGCACCTTTGGTGACGAAAGGGGAGGCAGCCTTCTCAGTGGCTGCTCCTATTTCTGACAGCAAGCAGGCAAAGACCTTTTCATTTGCCTAGGGAATGGATTGGGAACTGGCTGTTGCAGAAAGCATTATAACTAGAGTGTGCCAATTTTTTATCATCATTACTATATTTTAATTTTTTTAAATGTTGTAAACTAATGTTTTAATTTGTTTTTAATTTTGTGTTATGTCTTGTTTGCTAAAGGCACTAGATTCCATCTGATCTTGAAAGCTGAGCAGGATCAGCCTTGGTTCATACTTGGGTGGGAGACCACCAAGGAATACCAGGTGCTGCAGGCTATATTTCAGAGGAAGGAACTGGCAAAACCATCTCTCGAGTATTCCTTACCAAAGAAATAGCATAGTTGACAGGCAATTTAAAGGCACATACACACATACTTGTTTTAATGCAAAGCAGTTTTAATGGTAATGTGAGTTAAATTACATTATAAGCCTCTTTGGTTCCCATATTGGGAGAAAAGTGAAATTTAAATAAAATAAAATAAAGTTCCATGTCTTTTGGTAAAAATGATAATGGGCTACAGGTTTTATGGGGGGGACATTTGGTTGAAAATTGTTTACAAAATACCGGTATATAAAGATTCTCAAAATTTCAAAAGCACCTCAACAATGGAAAAAGCAGCCTGTAGAACTTGTACAACCCCATACCTTGAAGGTTTTCAAAAAAAGGTCAGATCGGAATTTGTTTTGGAGGCTTTATGTTTAGATTATCCTATCTTAGGTTGGAGCTTGAGGATCAGCTGGATAAGTCAGTGGCTTGCTTCTGTTGTAATAGAAATTCAGTTGAGTACTCTGGCTTTCACTAAGAACAGATGCACTCTCTTTGGCAAAACCTAACTGTAACTAGGGCCTCCGTCTCTAGCCAGCCATCTTAATAACAATTACTACCCCCCAAAAAAAGGGGGGGTCTTCTTTCTATGCCCCTGAGAAGCAGAGCCACTTCCTGAAAATCTTAATTCTTAATTCATCAGAGTATTACTGGATGCAGGAGAGACAGTGTGGTAAAGTGGTTTGGGTGTTGGACTTGGACTCAGGAAGACCAGGGTTCGAATCTCTGTTCTGCCATGGGCAAGTCCTCTCTCAGCCTGAAAGGAAGGCAGTGGCAAGCCCTCACTGAACAAATCATGCCAAGGAAACCCATGGGAGGTTCACTTTAAGGTCACCATAAGTCAGAAAAGACTTGAAGGCACATGACAACAACAAGAAATTGTTACATACATTTTTATATTCCTTCCAAATTTAATATTCTGTGGAAGTGGTTATTAACTTTTTCACGAGGTCACAAACCCCTTTGAGAATCTGATGAAAGCTATAGAACCCCTTCTCCCCAAAAGTACACATAAATACACTTTTATAGAATTTATTTTATTTTATTGAACTAAAGCAGGGGTAGGCAACCTAAGGCCCAGGGGCCAGATGCGGCCCCCCGAGGCCTTTGGACCAGCCCCAGGGAGGTCCTGCCGTCGCTGTTGCTGCCGCCCCCCCACCGCCTGCCATGATTATATTGATTATTGTTGTTATTACTTGTTCTTGGGGTTTTCTTGACAAAATCTCCACAGGGGTTTTGCCATGGCTTTTCTGGGGCTGAGAGAGTGTGCATGCATTATTTATAAAATATTTATTTATTTATGGCGCTTCGGCCCCCGAATTGTCTGAGGGACAGCAACCCGGCCCCTGGCTCAAAAAGGTTGCCTACCCCTGAACTAAAGTCTTGGAAAGGCTAAATATTTACTTTAAATTACAGTGTAACAGGAAATTGAAAGAAGGGTGAATCATACATACACACACACATTTGCACCCGCTTCATGGATCCCCCTGAAGACAACCCAGGTTAAGTAACCCTGTTCTAAGGTCAGGCTCCAAAATTACAATCGGTATTCTCCTTGGCCTGTATCCACCTTTCTTGTCACTGAAAAAGGAATGTGCAATGAGCTAAAAAAAAATCCCTTTTCCAAACACTGAGAGCCAGTGTGATGTAGTGGCTTAAGTGTTGGACTAGAACTCTGGGATACCTAGGTTCGAATTCTTGCTTAGCTGTGGAAACCCATTGGTTGACCTTGGGCAACTCAGACTCTCTCAGCCTCAGAGGACCCCCTCTGAACAAATTTTACCAAGAATAGCAATGGCAATAACAGCTTCATTTATATACTGCTTCATACCACACTAAGCAGTCTCTAAGCAGTTTACAACTGTAAGCTAATTGCCCCCAACAAGCTGGGTACTCATTTTAGTGACCTTGGAAGGATACCCTGAGCCCTTGGCTGGGATTGAACTCACAACCTTGTGGCTGTGAGTGAGTCGCAGCAGTGCCGGCATTTAACCACTACACCACCCTGTAATGGGGTTGCAGTAACTTAAAAACTATTTGAAGGCATACAGCAACAACAAAATCTAAGCTCTTAATCTACTAATAACCGCAGTTCCTTCAGAAGTTCTCCATTGGATCCTGTCCCTTCTTTTTAGAGCAAAATACACAGTGGAGTAAAATGTTTTAAGACCTGAGTTTTCTCACAGGAGTTTACATTGATAGTTATGTTAGTTTTGTTTATTTAACTTTCTAAAAACTTTCTAAAAGCAACTTTCCAAAACTTTTGGATAGGATTATTTCCTCTTTAGCTTGTGAAATGACATGGGGCTGGGGTGGGAAAAGGTTTTAGACTGAATGAAATAACATTTTGTATTGCCCTTCCTTCCCATTTCCTGACTGTAAATTTCATTAGCTGCATTTGAGCTGGCTTCAAACCATTGTGATGCTGAGAATGAGACATATGCATGTCTCCCTATTCAACTTCTCTGTTCAGGTCCTGAAGGTTCAGGCATGTGACCTCCCTGATTGAGTCCATCCATCTAGTGTGCAGTCTTCCTCCCTTTCTGCTGCCTTCTATCTTTCCTAACACCATTGGCTTATCCAATGTGGCCAAAATACAAGTCTCGATCATCTTGGCTTCCAGGGAGAGTTCAGGCTTGATCCCAAAAAGTAATGCAAATACTTTTCAAGTACTGATATCTATCATGGAAATAATAAAAATGAAGGACAAACAATTCAACATTTAAGGCAGTTCCTGTGCTAGTCCCAGCACAGTCTAAGTGGAGCTTCAGAGTCCCTCTATGATTTTTTAATTTAAATGATTGTTTTCTTTCATTTGTAGGAAAAAAATTTATCTGGATTCAAAACAGTACTGCACCATTTCATTTTCCTCATTATTCTGATCCTAGATGTCAATTTGCGCCAGGGAAGACTATCACGTCATAATTAGTCATTAGTAGATCCCCTTATCTCCGTAACAGATGGCAACAGGCACATTCTCAGTGATTATAAAGAGGATAATACTGTCAGTGCTAGGACACACTGGTTCCTTTGTACACATATCTCTCTTTTCCTTCAAAGCTACTGCTTTGTTTAGATTGGAAATTCTGTCTCAACATTGCCATTTAGTTCCTTGTTTGTAATTTTATTTTTCTTGTAAGGGATAATTTCATTGCTCCAATGAGAACGTTATTTACACTCTGGAGGTGTTGAGAAACAACCAGTATTACAAAACTCCTCCCAGAGCATTAGCTCATCATTTGGTTGCTCAACTAGGGGGAGAGCAACTCTCTCCTCGGGGAGCATTCTCGGAAATTCATAGGATCTCAGGCCCAAGGATGATTGCAATAAGGAGTACACATGTTACAAAGCTGCCAGTATTTGCCTCTGGAACAAAATATAGAAAACAACAACAACAAAAACATAAATATAAACCTAGAGACAAGCTGGAGCATGCCCAGAGCATGCCCAGATGAAAACCAAACCCTATGAGAATGACTTAGGAAGCTAACTGTGTGTGTTTAGCTTAGAGAAGAGAAGACTAAGAGGTGAATGATAGCCATCTTTAAATATCTGAAGGGATGCCATATAGAAGATGAATCAAGCTTATTTTCTAGTGCTCCAGAGGCTAGAACAGGAACCAATGGATTTTTAATTACAAGAAAAGAGATTCCACTTAAGGAAGAGCCTCTTTGATTTACAAGAGCTGTTCAATAGTGGAATAGACTACCTAAGTGGGTGGTAGACTCTCCTTCTTTGGAAGTCTTTAAATAGAGATTGAATGATCATCTCCCAGGAGTATGATGTATTCCTGCATGGCCCTTGCAGTCCGGTCCACCTTGTATTATTCTGTGATTTGGAGGACCAAATACATGGGGAAATTAACAACAACAGCAACAACAACAACAAAGCATTTTCCTATGTCTTAGTCCTTTTTGGAAGGAAGGAAGGAAAGAAAGAATTGCTGTTGTTTCCAAGATAATTTTTAGTAATGCTTACTCATTCTTTAATCCCAGAAGTTCAGAAATGCTGTGAAATGAGTTCAGTTGAGGTCCTGCCACAGATCAGACAGTAACTCCTTAGTTACTGCACACCAGTTTGATTTTGATAAGCCTGGCCTCTAAATGTCTTATAACAAGGTCAATACTGAATCTCTGCATGGCTGGTGATTTATTTACACACACATACAAACTGCATTCCTGGTAAACTGTTTTGATGGCAGCAGTAATCAAATATCAGTCTGACTGTCATGGCCAGTCCCTGGAAGGCTGGTGCAGAAAGAAGAGGAGATGGATTTTTAGTGCCAACCTTCTGTTGTGCCCTTTGTATGCTTGACTGGCACTCTGCCACCTTTTGTGGCAATTACAGTACAGATGAACAGGCAGCAAACTTCCTACTTTCTGGCTTGCATCTGCAGAAAATCAACAGTGATGACACTTTCTAGCTCACCTTCTCCCATATCTCTCAGGCCAGGGGCCAGCCCTGCCTATAGGCAGAGCACAGTGGCTACCTCAGGTGCCCAAGGGTAGATGATGGCATCAAAGGATAGCTGAAGGACAGAACTGTACGCATTATATGAATTGAGTCCCTTAAAGTGGATTATTACCCTCAAATATGATGGAGGATGATGTTTTGTTTGCCAATTTTGAACTGCCAATTTGGTCAGTTTCTGTACATGGAATTATAGGAAGAGAGGGCACATCATGTCAGATGTCCTTTTTCTGTGCTCCTTGCCAACCAAGGTGAACTGGGCAAACCCTTACAAATAGGAAATACACTCCTGCAAGAAGCCTTATCACTACCTACCTTTTTGTGAATAGAAGATGAATCTTTTTCACCAAGCATAGAAGAATTCCATTAATGGGAAGCTAGACTGGCCCCCTCTCTGCTCTCCTTTCTCTGGCAGGCAAAAGCTTTTGTTTTTGAGCAGGCTTTTAATACAATAATTGTGCCCAGGGAGGTCTTATTGAGGTGTTTGCCTTGTATGTTTTTAATGGTTTTATATTATTAACTTAATATTTTTCAAGATTTTACATTTGTATTTGTTATATTAATATGGAGTTTTAATTATTTTAATTATACTATCTTGTTGTTGTTGTTGTTGTTGTTGTTTAAGCTTTTGTGAGCCATCTTGTGTCCAAATTGAAAGAAAGGGAGCATATAAATAAATAAATAAAAACAGTTGATTTCAGTTTCAGCTGCTTCTTTATGGTTTTAGGTTTATGGGGTTTTATTTTTTAAAAGTTTCATGATTATAAACATGGCTACTCATTAGTAAACCCCACTGAGTTCAGTAAGGTTTATTCTCAGATAAGCTTGTATGGGACTGAAGCCCAGTTGTTGTGTTCCGGTGGGGCTGCAGTAATGGTGGCAGTGGTTGTTGACTGTTGTTGCTGACATTCTGAGAATGGGTTAAAGTTTTAAATGTATATTATACACACACATATACATACAGGACAGAACTCTCTGTTTCATGGACTCCTGGACCCAGCCCTTGTAAGTTTCTTAATCAGTACCACTGTTGTTTCCTTTCTATTCTCATATTGTGTTGTCTATCTGGGAGTAAATCAGACTGATGTTACTTCTGCTGGAGCCAGAGCATCAGTTCTGTAGACATTCCCAAAGACTTTGTTTTCTGTTATGGTATATACATGTTTTCTTTATTATTATTATTATTATTATTATTATTATTATTATTATTATTAATTGTATCCCGCCCCTCTGAGAACAATCGGGGCAGCTAACAGCAATTTAAAAT